TCGCTAGCGGTTGGTAATCGCCAATTTTGCACCAGATCGCTTGCGTACCGCTCTATAGGTACGGTGACCATCCGTTCTGTTTTTTGCAGGACCGTACTGTTATTTAAAGGTCTGTCCTGCGTTGTTTTTCAAAACAGAAAACCCCCAAAATGTACTGATTTTTTACAAGTGTCCTGCCTTTGTCCCGCATTTTCTTCGATGTTTTAAAATTAACTTTTCCTAATCGAAATAAAAGCAGTGTCGATAACTAATTGATAACTACGTAAGGGTAAGCTGGTTTTGAAGGTTCAACTAGTCAATGCGTCCTAAATATTGTACGGTTATGGACAATGGATGACGAGAAATTGAAGACCAGCATCAAATATAACACTGTTCTACAAGTTTTGTGGTAATCGCTTAAGAAAAAAAATATATTCCAAGCCAATTTTCTTTTCAAACAAGCGTTTTCGTAATTTTTTCGAAAAACGTGTTTTTGGTACATTTCGGACCTATACGTCAATATCTCATGAAAAAATTATCCAATCAACATAAGCGACCTACAGTCCTCTTACAAAAATATATTACTTTGCCGATTTCGATGAAAATTATTAGTGTTACAAGCGATCAATATCGAAAAATTTAAATTTTAATCATTTTCTTTTTACATTAAATGAAAATCTGATGAGAAATGTAGATGTTACGGAACACAATCTGCACAAAAAATATATATTTTTGCAAAGAGCCCATCAATACCTTCGAACTGTTGGTCGTTTCATGAGATATTGAGGAATAACTGAAAAAGTACTAAAAATACGTTTTTCGAACAAACCTCGAAAACACTTCTTTGAAACCATGGGTATTTTTTTTCGTGTTCAACGACCCAAAGTTTGCCCAAAAAATTTTCTTTATAGAGGTTCATATTTCGTGTAAAGTATAATGTAATATGCCTTACTATAATTTTGTAAATATTCATTACTAAAAGATTAATACCAATGAAGCAAATGTGATTTATGTTTAAAGTTTAAAATTGGAATTGGAATTTGAATAGCGCATCCTTTTAATACTAAGTAGGTACAGTTTTCCTTTTGTTTGTTTAATATTCATTAACGTTTTATAAAAATATAGCATATTCACGTCTACATCCCATTTAAAAAATTGTTGAAAATTAGAAAAAAGAAATAAACATAGGGGCGACAATTTTTTTGGTGACGGTGTTGCGCATTTTCTTCCATATAAAAATTTTGTCAAGCATACTTTGTATGGTAGAAAATCAAAAAAGGGGTGCGCTATTCAAATGACGAGGAATGTATATATGTAGTATATTTTTGTAATTTTTATACTACGCAATTATATGTAGGTAAATTTTTTGAAAAATTGTCCTGCATTTTCAAAATATATTTATGGTCACCGTATAGCTTAATTTGCATAGCACAGCCAAGAAGATCTCTGCACGGCAAAAGCACTATCATAGCAAATCAATAGCAATAAATTATTTTCACTAAGCTGCCGATTAAAGAGTAAAATACAATTTTCAAAGTCACAGTAAAATCAAAGCAGTTGGAATTGAAATCAAA